CCTGCCTGAAATCAATTTTGAGGGTTCAGATTTAGCTTGGTGGGGGAAACATTATACAACCTTCAGTATAAGAGATGAAGGAATGAAAGAAAATATTTTTTGAAGAAGCTTTTCTGTAAAAATTAGAAATTACTTTTTAAAGTTTAGCTTAGAGAATGCCATCTCCGACTATATGGCCTTGTGTAGCAAAGCAGATTGGTGGCTGGGGTGTCTGTGGTGGGTGTGAGTGTGGGCAGGAGTGATTTCAGCCAAATCTGTTGTGATGTTAATGATTTGAAAACTGAATGTAATACTTGTAGATTTTTTTTATAGTTTGAAATTTAATTTGTCATTTTGATGTTACTAATATTTCACTCAACAAGCTGTTAAAGCATTGATTATACTTGGAGATGTGATTACCAGTCAGCTTGATACTCAAGGAAAGAATGGGGTTATTCAAAAAAATTATAAATGTCATCTTTGACCTGAACAGGTCAAATGGGTTGCAAAGATTTAAACTATCCAATGACCACCTCCTTTAAAGTGGAAAACAGAATTTTTTGTTGCTTCATTTGTCATTCTTTTCTTTGCCCATCCCCCAAAGCAAAATAACCAGCCACCTACTGAATTGTATGTTTCTGTTTTAACCAGTCCAGTCAAATCATTTAATTGTCCTAAATTTCAGAATTGAATGTTGAAGTATTTTATTCTTTTGTTCTTATACTTAGAAATTTAGGTTCCAGATTGGTAGGTCCAGCTACCCCTTTAGTAATTTGTAAATAACTTGATAATGTTTAAATGGTATTGGAGAGAAAAATTTTTAAAGGATTAATTTGAGAACTTTTTTCTATATACAGTTTGTCACCTTCCTTTAGTCCACTTTTCAAAAAAAGTTTGAAATTCACTGAATCAGAAAGAGCAAATCAGAGAGTTTTGAGATAAGGTGGGAAAGATGATTGAAAGAAATTAATCCATAATTTCTCAGTGAATAAAGCTGTAGCTGTCATTTATTAAATAGGCAAGTTTATAGGCTGGTATTTAGAAAATGACTAAAATATTAAAAATCATGTTGCATTAATCTATTTTAAGTCATACCATATTCAGAGTTCTGTGTAGGGTGTGGTTTTATTTTTTTCTTTTTAGGGATAGTTTGTAATAGAACTATCCCTCACGTTAGTAACTTGTATATGCACAAATTGAAACTGTAAATTGTGAACACTGGAAAGCACCATTGTGACATAGAATATAAACATCTAAGTAATATGTTAAAATGAGTGTAAAAGGAAGTTAAAATTCTTACCGTGAAACTCATCTTAAACTTGGGAGATTTGGGCCAGTATGTAACTGTTAACAGCTTTGAAAACAGTGTACATTTCTGTTCAAGCCAGATTTATTTCTTTGTAACTACTCAGCTTGGTGATTGCTTTTGATTTAATGGATTGATAACATGGTATATATTTACTTAGTTTGAAACTTTTCATTTCTACACACTATTTTTAAAAATCATCAATTAGAGGGCCAGGGATTAGCTCATTGGTTCCTCCGCCTGCCTTGCAACCACAAGATCCTGAGTTTGAGCCCCGGTACTGCAAAAAAAAAAAAAAAATCATCAGTTAGAAGAAACATACAATAAAACTACCTGTGCTAAAATTTTGGAGTTTAAGTCCTTTAAAAAATGAATCAGTAGTCACTGGCCACATCTATGATAAAAGTGATTTTGGTTTACTTACTAACACTAAAAAAGGCGTGGTGGCTCATGCCTGTAATCTCAGTACTCAGGAGGCTGAGGCAGGAGGATTGTGTTGAGTTTCAGACCAGCATGGGCTGCATTGTGAGTTCAAGGCCAGCCTGAACTACAGCAAGACCGTGTCTCAAAAAACAAAAAACAAACAAAAAAAAAGATAATGCTACAATTGGTGGAAACAATAAACATTAAAAATGGTAACACCCTGTGAATGTGTTAGATTTAAGAGAATAAACATTTTGTAAAAGTAAAAAGTAAGTAAATAAAAAATATAGAAAATAACTGAATTTTTATGAAAAATAATTCAATAGAAAAAATTCAAAAATTTTATTTCATTGTAATCTTATGTTGTTTGTTTAGCTTTCATTTTGTGCTTTTGTTTCTAGAGAATCATCTTGCAAAAGGAATTTTCCTTGTAGTCAATTATTGCCCTGAGTCATCACTAGACATGGCATTTCAGTAAACAGTGATTCTGCAATCACTTCCAGCCAGATGTGTTGTGGGATATCAAGAACACTGGCTGATAACCTTTCTGATCTTTTAAGCAGTAGGGAGAAATGGGAAATTTTTGTATAGATACACACCTTGAAATCAGAAAATGCCAAAGTGTAGACCCTGTGCTGGATGATTTTAGCCAAATAACAGCATTTGTGTAGCTGTCTGGGTGGAATAGTAGTCATTTTAAAAGATGAATTATCTGTCCTAGAATAAATGACTTTTCATAGTGGGTTATGCACACACATCATATATATGTGGGGTTTTGGGAGGTATGTTCATTATTAAACACAATGTTAACCTCATTGTAGAGATTTACCTTACCTTGGCTGCTCATGTGGCCTATAAATAATGAAACTAAACTCCTTGTACTCTGGTTTCTTAATGTATAAGCTAGGAGTTGATTATTATATCCCTAACTTTCAAAGAGAAGGGGGAATTCTTTGAAAAACAAAAAAAAAGACTCTTCCAGATGTGTCAGTAAGTGGTCAATCTATCAGTCACTTACAGTCAATCAAAATAGTTGTTCAACTTCCTAGATCACAAGAGTAGGTGTTATAGTCAGGGTTTTGGCAAGGGAATACATTAAATATAAGACACATAGTTTATAGGATTATTTTATGATAATTACCCAAAAAGTCAAATGCAAAGAAGTGCAAGAGATTAACTGCAGACTAGAGGCCCAAAGAATCCAGCTGAGGGCCTGGATCCCAGCAATGTCCTACACAAGTCCAGCTAAAGGCTTAGAGTCCAAGCCAATGTCCTCCACGAGGCCAGCCAGTGGCCTAGAGCCCACAGCAATTTCTCATGTTTGTCTGTATTGAGGATCTGAACCTGAAACGCGCAAAGGCCAATGGTGGAAGCCAGAAAACCTACGCTGGTGAGATGAAGGATTTGTGCCACCCAAGCTGAGGGAGCCAAATTGGAACCAGGAAGTGATGCTCATGATGAAAATCAAAGCTTCCCTGATGAAAACAGCAGCCATTCCCAGAGACAGCAAGGCCTCGAGCTCCTCTTCTGACGAGAACAGCCTAGTTTGCATCAGGAAAACTTATCCACAGCAAGCTTCTCCTAGAAAATCAACAGGCGAAGATCTTCCCCTCCACTTCTCTTTTTATGGCTACTGGTAACAATCTTCAGGTAGATCTTCCACGCCCAGACTATGCTGATTCAGTTCAGCTGGGCATTACAAGTTACCCATTAGTTAATCCACCACAGTAGGTAAATTTAATTTTTCACTTAACAGCAATTAAATTTTTAGTCATAATCCTAGAGTCGCTAATGGTTTTCTCTCAATATGATTTTTGAAAAACAAATTAGCTTTTTAGATTTAATAAATTATGCCACAATTATGGATCATTAGTAACCATACATTAAAGTGGTATTTGATAAATTTGCCCCTTTAAGTTTCAGAATTAAGTTGTAAAAGAAAGCATTATTGTGTGCTGAAGTACAGTTTTTATTAAATACCATTAAATCTTTAGTCTCACATTTGTAGGTGAGAAACTACAAAAAGAAATTCACCTGTTAGTTCAGCTAATATTTATTGAACACTTAACTATATTCTGGGCCATGCCCAACAATGATAATATTGCACACAACTGAGAATAAAGTGGATGGACTGAAATACACATTGACAACTATGGATCTTTTTGTCTTTCATATGGAAAAGTAAGATCAGCAAAGATTTTCATACTTGAATGTATTCTTGTGACCTTCCTTATATTAACAAATTCCTAGCTGTTAGTGTCAGTCAAACTGTCATCTGTTAATTTGGTAATCTTGCCTGTTATGGACATTCCTAAGCTGGCTCAACTTTATGGAAAGAACAATTTACATATTGCTGAATTAGCCTCTGCCTATGTTTCAGAGAGGTGGACTAATAGGTTATGTGTCATGTGTTAATCACCAACCATTAGTGATAATTAATAAAGTAGGCCATTAATAGGTCAATTATGTTTATATTTGCCTGTGTTTGTATCTATCTGTCTTATGTCCTTCAAGTCAGCTTTAGGCACAAGTTGGTTTAGTAATATAATCCACCCAGCAACCAACCTTAGAAATCAGAGGATTAACTGAAGGTTAATTTATGCATCTGTCTGTTGTTCTTTCCTGCAGTAAAGATCATATGGCATTTGGTTAATTATTACACAGAATATACAGTACATATCTACTCCAAGGTAAATCCACTGAGATACAAACATTTACAAAGAGTAAACCATGTGAAAAACTAATTTAGATGACAGTTATTCATATCATAAAGAATTTGTATTTAAAAATTTTTTTTTACTCTAAGTCATAAGCTGTCTTAGTTTATTTGAAATTGACTGGATCTAAAAATATGAATTCATTTCATTTTCCTTGAGTAAACCTATATAAAGTAGGATATATTTATGGTTTAGGTTGGGGGTTTATGGATGATTTATAAGACCTGTATAAAATTACTATTCTTAGGGCCCAGGATTTAGCTCAGTGGTTTCGCCACCTCCTGTGCAAGCGCCAGGACCAGAGTTCGATCCCCGGTACAAAAAAAAAAATTGCTATTCTTAAAAACTTGTTTGTGGGCCGGGGGTTTAGCTCAGTGCTTTCATCACCTGCTATGCAAGCACAAGGACCCGAGTTCAATCCCCGGTACCAAAAAAAAAACTTGTTTGCTTTGTAACAAAAGAAATAATGGTTGCTTTCACAATGTAGAACATATAGTAACAAAAATACTTCAAACCAATAAGAAACAATTCAGTCTTCATAGTATGGTTAAGTTTCTGTCTTTTTTGCTTCATAGGAGATAAAGCAAATGACCCAGAAGATAAAACTTCAGAAGTAGAAGGCAGCCCACCTTTGGAGGTAAGTTAAACCTGGTTATAGACCTTTAGGGTGAAACCGAATGAGGCATGAGGGTTACGTATTCCTCTGAGGATAAATAGTACCTACAGCTCTTGTTGTAAAGAGATGCCTATACAGAGAAACAAGTGATCTGCTGAAAGACAGTGGATACCAGCATAGGAGGGGATGACTTCCTAACTGCTAAGCTTTTCCTAGTGCTGGAAATGGAAACTTCTGTTTGAAAAAAAATAAAGCCCTCAGGTTAAAGCATCTGAGTTATTTTTAATTGAGTGATTATTTTCTAGTACATTTTAGGGGGTTTTGTGTTTTTTTTTGGTACCAGGGATCGAATTTGGGACCTTGCGCTTGCAAGGCAGGCTCTGGAACCACTGAGCTAAATCCCCAGCCCTTTCTAGTACATTTTAGATAGACAATGCATGAAACCATGGAAAAGGCTTGAAAATAACCTATTCAGAACTATATCACTTTACTATTTCTAGTGTCAAAGTATACTCTTGGATAGTGCTCTGTAGAAAAGCTAGGGTGTTTGTTCTTTTTACATAAGAAAAGTATTTTCTCCTTGAGGATACTTGAAAATATAATTAGGTGAGCTGGGAATGGTAGTGCAGGCCTGTAATCCCAGCACTAGGGAGGCTGAGGCAGGAGGATCACTGGAATTGCAGGCCAACCTGATTTACATAGTGAGTTCAAGGCCAACCTGAACTACAATACATAGTAAGACCTTGCCTCAAAAAAAAGAAAGAAAGGAAAGAAAGTATAGTTAGGATACTTTTACATATTATATAGAAATATATTAACATTATTTAATCACTGAAATAATCATTTTTAAGATGTAAGGAAATATTAAATATTATGTTAGAAAGGATATCCGTGAATTTTGAAACTTTGTATGTGGTGACACACTTCTGTTTATATTCTACCTGTATACTTGTAGTATGGGAGGATATTGTCATATACAACTAGAGTAAAATTAGGTGCCTTGTCTATTTGATTCACTTTGATATCCCCAAATGCCTAGCACAAAGTAGGCTGTCTAAAAGATTTGTTAAGTGGATAACTACAACCATGAGTTATATAGGTAGACAGTAATATTTAAGAAGATTTTTATTTTTATATTCATATTTTTCACAGAGAGCAAATGTCTTAAGGAAGAGACTTAAAAGACATGATATATGAAGTAAATTCATAAAAATAAGAATCATTTTTCTCATAAAACTGCATTCATTCTTTTATTCATGTACACAACAAATATTTATTAAGCATTGGCTATACATAAGGCAGTGTGCAAGGACTGAGTAAGTAGTGATGAAAGAAACAGATCCAAGGACAAAGAAAAATGCCTGGCTTTTACATTGACACAACTTGATCTCTTTCATTTATTCAAACATTTAGGGAGTGCCAACCATAAGTAGCATCTTTTGATAGGAAATAAAAGTTGATGTATTTTGGAAATGAACACTAGGCTCAGAAATCATCCATGATTACTTGAGTTTAATTGCTCAGTGTTATCAGGCCACTATTACAAAATGCCAAATACCTGGTGACATATAAACAATTTATTTCTCACCGTTCTGGAGTGGGGAAAGCCCAGGATGAAGGTGCTGGCCAATTTGGTATCTGGTAAGGGCTTGCTTTCTGGTTTGCACCTTCCCCTTGAGTCCCCATGTGGAACTCTGGTCTCTTCAGCCCTTTTGAGGAAACTAAGCCCACTCATGAGATTTCCACACTTCTGACTAGTCACATCCCAAAGGCTACACCTCTTAATCCTGCCATCTTGAGGATTTGATTTCAACATATGCAGTTGAGGGGAGGAGTGCAAACATCATAGCATTTATGTGACTCATTGGACGTGTCTACAGACCTCAATTATTTTTTCAAAATTGATTCATTGATAAAAAGAATTCGAAATTCTAAAGTGCTTTCTGGGGAGCTTCTGCGTGTGTTTGCTATCACAGAGCTTCTTGACATAGCAGAGAAGAAACAGAACACTGTAAAGGGAACCACAAGTTTGAATCACAAGGCAAGAAGATAATAAAATACTTCTAGAGGCTGTATATATTCTGCCACAGAAAATCCAAATCATGTATTTTTACCATAAGCATCTGAAGTGGGATTTATTATTCTTCTCTCTCAAAAATATGAAAACCAAAATGTTGCCAAAATATTGTCTGTACCCACATTCTTTGGTGCAGTCAAGGTGAGTCTTACCGGGTTTCATGGCTTTAAGTTTTGTGTGGAGGTTTGTCTTAGTTACCTTCCCCATAGCCAGGACAAAATACCTGATACCCGCAACATAAAGGAGGAGAGGATTATTTTGGCTCGGGTTTTAGAAGTTTCAGTCCTTGCATAGATAGCTGGCTGCAGGCAGAAGCAGCATGGTGGCAGGAAAGCGAGTGGAGGAAGGCTGCTCTCCTCTTGGCAGCCAGGAAGCAGGGAGCAAAGTTGCAGAGCCAAGGAGAAAGATGCCCAGCCCCAAGTCACATCCACAGTAACCTGGCCCTTCCACCAGACCCCACCTTTAAAACCAAGCCAGCTGTAGTGCCCCATAGTCTAATCACCTTCACCAGGCCCACCCTTGAGTACACTAGGCTTTGGGGGGACATCCAGATGTAAACAAAAACAAGGCTCACGCGGCCTCTAGTATTTCTCGACACGGACCTCACCCTAAAGTTCTAGACTGTATATCAAATTGCTTGCATTGCTTACATGGTTTAAACATTTCATTCTTTACTTAGGCACAGAAGAACTTTTGATTGCTGACCCCACCACCCTGAAACCTCTTTCTGCTAGTTTTTATCATCTGTTTAATATCATTACTCTCTAGGGCCGGGGATTTAGCTCAGTGGTTCGCTGCTTGCTGTGCAAGCGCAAGGACCCAAGTTCAATCCCCAGTACCAAAACCAAACAAATATCACTACCCTCTATATAGTGGTTTAGAATTGAAACCCCTGGGGTACCGTTCGTTGGCTCCTCTCTTCCCCTTACAATCCACATCTAGACCATTGGCAAGTCTTGCCATTTTAACCCGAGTCTGGATTCTGACGGCTTTGCAACATTATTACTTTTAGAACAGTCTTAAGCCGGGACTTTTACCAGGATACTCTGCTTCCATTCTCCCACTCTGTAGGAAGAGGAAGCCTAAGATGTCTGCACTTGGGTTCAGGCTGTCAGGGTGTGATTTCCATTGGAATTAAGTCCAAGTCAGCAAGATTTCAGCCGGCACACCTTGTTGGTCTTGGTTTAAATAACTGATATAACCAAGGTCTATGTTGGCTGGTGTAAATAACTTACATAACCAAAGTTGTTATTGGCACATGGCTACTATTGTGTATTTTGGTATAAATGTAGACTGCCACAAAGGCTGGCAGGAGACAAGCAGCTGAGCACTGCTGTGAGAATGGGTGGACCAGCAGCTTGAGGACAGCCACACGAAGGTGTGTGGCGGAGCGGCTCTTGAGAATAAAGCCATATTCAGACATTTCCATGACTGTGTGTCTCTTTCTCGGACTGCTCAAATCTCAGGTGACCTTTCCCAGTCTGAACTGGTGACAAGACACCCTATAAGTCCATTCTCCACATAGCAGGGAAAAACATCAGTCAGATCACATCACTTCTTGGCTTAAAATCTGCTGACTACTCACTGCAAGGAGAATAAACACTGTGCTCCTCATAGGGGCTACAGAGTGTTCCATCCTCTGCCCAATTTCATTTCTCTCCCCAGCCCTGATCCTCATACACCAGCTGCCCACCCATCCCTTGATGGTGTTCAGCTTTCTCTTCTCAGCCTTTGTTTTGTTAGCCATCTCCCCCTTTGCAACCAGAGCTTCACTTCACCTTTATATTATCATTCAAGTGTCACTTCTCCCGGCTGCCTCTGCTAGAGTGACCTTCCACCATCACATCACTGCTAACTGATGACTTAGCTTTCATTTGATGTCATATACCCGCCAAATGTAACCCCTCCCCATCAAATCTATTAAGTCCTCTCGATTCTACCTACCAAATACCTTCTGAATCTGTTTTTTTCCTACTCTGACTAGGTCCTCATCTGTTCACTAGACTATTGTTTGATGAGTTTCTTTCTGAAAAAGAACCACAGGTTTTATTATTTCTATACATTTGCAAAATGCACTAAAACCTAAACTCTGTTCAAATGTCATGTCTTCTGTGACCCTTTTTTCCTGTTCCTCCAGCCAGGGGCAACCCAATGTCCTCTTACTACTTATGTTGTCTTTTATGTCTTCACTTTAACTTGAGTTCCTGAAAGGTGAGCGCTACACCTTAATTAACCTGATGCCTTCAGCTACTCTCACACTGTTAGACACAAGAAGTTATGTGGCATAAATGGCCTGTCAGTGACTTCTGGATAAATGACTAAGTGAGTGATTGTTTTAAATCTTTTCATTAAATTCTGTTTCCCCCTTTACATTATAAACACACAGTTATAACTTTTCTCACTGTGAAAAAGGTTTTCTTACACTTTCTAGGAGTTAACCATTCAAAAGAAAAATCTTATTTTTGACACTCTTACTGCATTGGCAAGGACAAGTTTCATGATTTCAGTTAGTTTTAAAATATACATACATCTGATTAAGAAATTATTAGTGGAAGTGCACCTGCCTCCCCCCACACGCACCGTGTGCCTTTGCACTGAGTTACATCTCCATCCCTTTTTATTTTGAGACAGTTTTGATAAGTGGCCCAAGCTGGCCTTGAACTTTGGATCCTCCTGCCTCTGCCTCCCAAGTAGCTGAGATTGAAGGCAAGTGCCACCACACTCAGCTCATTATTTTATTTTTAAGACAATACAAGAAACCTTAAATATTATTTATAATGAGAACATAGTTGATAAATTAGTAGGAAGTTTAACTTAACATTCCATAAATTTAAAATTAACGTTCCCAGTTGCCATTATATAACTAATTTTCTCAGGACCCTTTGGAGAAGTTGCCTTTTAGAGTACCCAAGTAATAAAAGTATAGATTGCCTGATATTTTCCA